ATTTTTTATGAATAGAAGTCATTTCAGATACACTAGACTAACTTGTTCAAACACACACAATTTCTGCAATTCATTGTGGTGGAATGAGTTGCTGTGGAATGACTTGTGCTAAAATGGAGCATATATCCAAGTTTTTAATCATCTAGGCTAGGGACAGACATTCAAAATGCCTGAGCCTGAATTGATTCAATCTTTGCAGGTTAGTTTAACCTGCAAAGCTTGAACTGCTTTGGAAGTAGATAGACGTTTCCTTTTCATTCCAGAAATGCAGGCACATACCTGCAGTGGCTCAGACTAGGAGCCCAGGTGGAGGGGGAGAGGGGATGCTAGAGCAGGCTTTCCTTCCCTTCCACTGGGCTGAGCTGAGGGGGGCATAGCCAGGCCCCAGCAGGATACTATATGATTAGAGAGGGGTGTCATCCCCGTCCTTGCCCCGCCCCACCCCACCCTTGAGAGCAGAGCATTTATCAGCTCTGTTATCAACATTTAGCACCCCATCAGAAAACACGCCCTCGCTCATTCATTGAAGGTCTTCTTAGACAGCTTTTTCCAAAGGAAAGAATGCAGGGACATTACCAACTGAGCTGTTAATTATCTCCAAAAAGCCCTAAGTGAACACTTTTATCTGCCTTACACAGCATTAGCTAGCATACCACATGCTGGCTATGGTCTGTGCTGTGGGAGAGAGGGGGAAGGGATCTCTGCTTAAGCGGCGAGTGATGAGAGGGTGGCATGGGGAAGCCAGCAGACCCTGCTGTGCCTGCAAGTCTGCCGAAGCTCCAGCCAGGGAGCAGAGGGGAGGGGGCCAGCCCTGCTGTAGAGCAGAGAGCGCTACCCAGCCCAGAGAGCATGGTGGGATGCTGGGGGTGTCTGGTTTAATTTAAACCAGCAAAGGGTCTGGGACAGACATTGCATAAACCGGTTTAACCCAAATCAGTTAAGTCGGCGACTACATTCAACCAGGTTGATCTCAAACCGGTTTCAGCCATTTTCAAACTGGTTTATGTTCACTGAACAGCTATTCTGTTACAGGTTTAAACCAGTTTCTAATCACTTAAACCAGTTTATGCGTAATGGATGTCCCTAGCCAATAAGAAAGTGTGGTGAGGTGAGCTTTGGTATAGCTTTATAATTTCTAAAGTAGATGATGACCGTTTGATGTGAATGTTCAAACTTTTCAAAGGCCTCCTTGCAGAGAAAAACAAGTGACAGGGAATGTGAAAGCTCTTCCTATATTAGAATAACCATGGGCAACTGGTGCCTCCTGATACTAGGGGACGGGTTCCCCCAGCGGCCAATCGCTGGTGGCGGCAAACCCAGAAGTGCTACCAGCACTTCACTCGGCACCCCCGCAATCTCAGGGCGCACACCAGTCGCTGCCTCTCCCATTCCCCGGCTAGCGAGGGCCAATTTCAGGGAGACCACATTGCCCCCTCCCCCTTGCTGCCCCCTATGCGTCACCTATGAGAATAACTATTAAAGAATAGGAGAAATTAAATATGCCATTGTTTTCCTAGTTTTATTTTAAATTAAGTAGTGCAGGATCATTAAACTTCCATTTTTTTCTGAGCAGCTCTTGACACCTGCTGGTCTAAAACCTAAATCTGCAAAACATACGTAGTTGCTTTAATTAAACTGAAGATATGATGAACTAGAGATGAACTTTTTTTAACATGTCTGGACAATATATCAGTTGCATATGGGATCAGTTTTGATGCAAGCGAAAGAAAGAGTGCGTAGCTGAGAAGTGTGGTCTATAATACCTCAGCCCTTAAACGTGATTTGCGTAAGTAGTGGTACTAACATTTGTGAATGGAGTTGCATCTAACTTTCTCCGCAGGAGAGAAGACTGCTGTGATACAAGAACTTAAAGGGAGACTTTATCCAAAATGAGTGGGTAGGGTGGGGAGTAAGTGATTTTTAAAAGATAAGATGTCTCCTCTCCTTTACAGGAGTGAAATACAAATTTAGTTTTCAGTTTTGTAACTTTTCAGCTTAGTCTAAATCTGCTCAAAATGAGAAATGTTCTCAGTTGCTTACTGAGGAAATTTAAAATTTCTTTAGAAAAAGAAACTATTGAAACTGAAAAGAAAAATTGGTTCTGTAGCTAAAGGTTGAGTTCACTGAGGAGGAATTTGTTTAACAAACCAGTTTCCATGCAAGTTATGTTGTGTAAGTGTCAAGGAATATGTGCTGATTTTCAATTATAGTAGAAATAAGTAAATGGTTCTAAAACCGAAAAGGAAGCACTTGACTTCAACTTATTAATATCACTTCTCTTGCCACAAAATGGCATAGTGTTGAATTATTCCAGCCTCCTAAACACTTTCTCTTGCATAACTAGACAACATCGATATCAATTCAAAACTTCGTCATGATCATTTGCCTGATTTGTATGATTCTGTTTTTCATTTAAAACCTTTTGGTGTCACTTATCAGGTTTTATTGCAACAGCTACCAAAACCAAGCACAGGTCCCAGCTGAAGTCCCTATTCAGGCTCAACTTCCATTTGACTGAAGTGGGCATCTGTTGCCTCGGAAAGAAAAGTATGATTGTTCTCATGGTGCCAGCGTTTTCACCCAGCCTTTGACTTGCAGGTGAAAGAATTCAATTTCCGTGCCAAGTGCATTTACACAGCTGTGATGGTCCGCAGGGTGATCCTAGCCCAAGGAGAAAACAAAGTAGACGACAGAGACTATTATGGAAATAAGAGATTGGAGTTGGCAGGACAGGTAGGTCCCCACTTCGGGGAACTTTATTCCTATTCTTATATTTGAAAAAGAGTACAGGAGTTCGGGACTTGTCTGGCTTCTGACTTGTTTTTTTTCTGATTTTATTTTTCCCTCCCCACATTGGCTTGTTTTTAAGTTAGACATGTGCTTACATATGTTCTCCTTGAGTTGGAGCCTGTGACTGTGTATTTGTGAGGTTCTCACTCTTGCTGTGGCCACTGTGACTTGGGCAGAAGAGCATAGAGGCCCCCAGTTATCATTGTGAAAGAGCTCCTTAGTATTAGTGCAGAAAAAGACTGCTATACGTGTCTTTCAATAACCCTTACAAGTGCTTGTACAGAGGATGGAGGTTGGAGGCAGGAGGAGCATATTGGGGCCAGGTTGTAGCACTGTAGGAATTCAAGGCAGTGCTAAGGAGCAGAGAGCAGCCCTAGGAGGCTGATATAACGTAGGCTTCTTGCAATGTCTTTTTTTTGTCAAGGTTGTTCTCCAACCCTGAAAGCAGCACAGCATCAGGAGGGCACAAGGGGTTAAAGCCACTTAGGTTCCTCCTTATGGGTTACAGGTTCTGTGTTGAACCGAAAATGTGAAATTTTAGAATTGCAAAGTCCATACTACCTGTGTTTTCTGGTGCAGGAGGGTTGCCTGTATATCAGTTAGAGGGCAGTTACCAGTACTCTGGTATTTCTTTGTAATGTGTAATATTTTTATATTTTACTTTAGTTACTGTATTTACTGGAATCCAAGATGACCCTGAATATAAGATGGCCCCCCAATAATTACAGTCTATACATGGAAATTTTTATAAATTTTTGTTATCACTTTCCACATACAGAATCTAATTATTGGGGGGGGTCATCTTAAATTTGTTCCCCTTTCCTACCCACCCTTCACCCTCTCACTGCAGCAGTGAAAGCAGTGGCGGGGGGACAGGTGGTACAGCGGGGGGGAGGCAATGGGGAGGCAAGTGTTGGAGGGGGTCAAACAGCTGTCTCTTCCCCCCCACACCTTGTTGCCTGCCCCCTAACTCCTACAGCCATCCTTCCCCCTGGTCCCCTGCCCCTGCCTCCACCTGGATCCAGCTCTGCTCCAACCTGGAGCACAGAGCTCATGTTTGCTGTGGCCCTGTAGCAGTGGTGGTGGCATGGCAGCTCCAGCCCCAGCTTGGGGACCTGGCCCAACCTGCTTCCAGGCTAGGCTAGGCCAGTCTGTGGCCAGGACAAATGGAGTTAGGGCCAGAGCGAGGGTAAATTGTGCTGAGGAATATGGGTTGAGGCAAGGGGGTTAGGGGTGAGAGGCAGGGGGACAGAGTTGAAGCTAGAGCCAGAGCCACAGCAGTGGCCCTTGAAACCTGGGGGTTCATGTATATAATTGCATTTAAGAGACTATGTGTTTTTTGTGCTGATGAGCCCTATTTGTATTAGATTATACATTTGAAGTTAGGCTACTGTATGAAGCAGATGGAGGGAGGGAAAGGGGAGGAAGGAATCAGTGTACCACATACCCAAAATGGTAATCAAGTATGTAGTAAAGTATAGGGCACTAACAGTACTGTATGCTCTTTGTGGCTGTCTGGAATATGGAACTCGCACCTTTAAAGGGATGGGGATGAGTCTTAAATTTCTGAAGTAAAAACAAATTCTACTGTTACCTGGTTGTTCAGCTGATTTAAGGAAGTTAAAGCTTTTCATTGGTTTTGAGCTCTGAGCTGTTAAACAGAACAGTTAGAGATGTATCTTCTGGCATCTCTAAACCTATTCCAGGGAAAGTAATAAGAGATAGGTGACTAGGTATACTCGGTTCAGTGCTCTCTCTCTAAAGCAGGGGTGTTCAACCCATGGCCCACAGAGCCATGTCATCCAGCCTGCCAAGCTCCCCATGGATCCAAATTTTGGTGGCAGAGGAGTGGTGGCAGCATTAACTGCCACTCCCCTGCTGACAAAGGTCCAGACCCATAACAGCTTGGAACTTGATCCAAGCACATGGGACTGAGCCAAGGAGGTGCAGGACTTGAATCAGGCATATGGAGCCAAAAGGTTGAGCACCACTGCTCTAAAGCATCCACTCCTGCCACTATCAGAGACAGAGATAGATTACTGATCTGCTCTACTATGGCACATCTTTTTGTTCTTGGGTTCTGATATCTCAAAACAGACTTGTGATTAAGCTGTGCAAGAATTGCCGGCTTCAATGTTAAGCAAACACTTAAAAAAAGGCTTGGCACCAAGTTTCAGCCACAAGTACCTTGAAAGGACTGACCAAATGGTTATATAGTTTCAGACAGCTTTGACTATTACAGAATTGTTCTTGGATTTCTGTATTATTATCAACAAAAATAATTTGTACTTTGTTACTCCATACTAGGTACCTGGGAAGTGAAAGCTTGCACATTTGATGTAGAATAGCTCTAGTTCCTCTGTAGTTTCTTAAATGCCCAGCCTCCAAGGAATACTTGACTTCCTCATAGGTTATTGGCATGAGATTGATTTGTCTGAACTTAAGGTCTATAAAAAATAAACGTAGCACAAAATACAATGCAACTTAGACACTCTCTCATTTTTTACTCTTTTTTTTCCTTTGCAATTAGCCAAAGTTGCTGTGTGCCTAAATGAACTGTGATATTTTAAAATGCTAGTGTGTTCCTGGAATAAAAATCCTGTTGCTTAAAAATATGAATTAAAAAAAGCATTCCCTTGTGAGGAAGAAAACATAGCATTCTAAACAATGTAAAGACATAAAAAGGCATTGTGTTTATAAAAATGTGTGAAAACAATAGCTGCTAATTTCACACCCCATGGGACAAGGGAGTACGAAATGTGCTTTAGCTTTAGATAACAGAGTTGTATCCACTAGCCAAGCTGGTTTACAGAGCTTTCTCTTAGTCTTTCTGCCACTGGAGGCTTGGTAGGCCAGGTGCCAGCAGAGGTGTTAGCAAAACCTACCGATTTCAGGCTTAATCTTTTCACCTACCTTTTCTCTTTCCTTAATGTGTTCATTATTTGCTGAGCATTACTCTGTTCTTTGTCCTCAATTTTTTTTGTTTCTAATGCAGCTTGCTTTGTATGGGTGAGATATGGAACAGCACCAAAATCCGGCACCCTGGAAAGCAAGGGATTTCTACCCTGTGACAAAAGAATACCGCCTTGACTTCAGAGATTGCCTAATCCCAGCTGTTCTGATAATATAATTAAGGCTGCCTAATGTCTTTAATTTTGCAACCAGTTTGTGTGAAAAGGAGAATTTGGCACTCTAAAGGCTTAAACGCTAAATAGCAATCTCAAGGCGCCTAATTAGAATTCTCTGACATTAAGCTAATTGGTGAAACTGTATTTCAGCAGCTTAACTTCTTTATTAATTTTTTTCTTAGGATTTTCAATGAAAATCAATTGATGAGCTGTCACTATTTTTTTAATATAATTTGCTCTTTAGTCCTCCTGTCTTTAAGCAGGCTGAAAGGCCTTGGACTGACTATGAAATGCATTGAATATTATCATTGGCATTCCATCCCTTTTCTTTTAATCACTTACTCTTGACCCAAATAATGTGCTTATTGTGTGACTTTGCCTTGCTGATAGTGGTCTTGCAGAGAGTGTAAGAGTGTTCAGAAATCAGCAGAGTGTGAGGCTTTTAGCCTGGAAAATATTAACAACTTGTTATGCTTGGGGCAAAAGTTAATTTATTAGTTCAAAAAAGGAAATTTGATTTGTGCTCCTGTTTGCTAGAACTGGAAAGTTTTAGTGGAATTATTTATTTATTTTAGTCAACAGGTTGAGTGCAGAGAGATTCATGGTAAGTGAAAACTCCCCCTTGTATTGGAAACTCATTTAAGGTTTGATCAAAAGCCTGTTAAACCAATAGATTATTTCCATTGACTTCAGGTAGGCGCTATATCAAGATTTTAGCTATATTTCTGGGGAAAAATCTCAAGAAGTTACACACGCATACAAAAGTCATTCTCAGTAATATGATTTTTCAAGATCTCCCCCTCCTTCCCCCTTCCTCCTGGGGGGGAAAAAAACAAACCCTTTATTTTCTAAGATAAGCGTGACTACTTAAAACAAGTTGGAATAACTTTTTTTTTTTTTTTTTTGCAAGAAAAGGGATGTGTATGGAACCGCAATTGTTGGCTCCATTATTCAGCTTGAGTTTTGCATTTAAACTATTCAAATTTTTTTATTATGTATAATAAATACTATATGTCCTTCCCAGAATTGTGGCACATTCTTGTTGAATGAAGAGATACAACTATTAAAAGCATAATACATTTCTAATAGGTCCTTTAAAGAAATGGTGTGCCGCTTTATCCCAGTTATTACTGTACTAGAATATTATACTTGCTTCAAAGAGCAATATAGGTACACAGTGAGAGGAAGAAGAAATATACAATGCCCTTTTCTTTTTTTTAAAAAAAAATTAAACAAAAAATCTAGGTTAAATCACAGCTGTTAAAAAATGTTAACTGTGTGTATTGTGTGGTTTGACTGCAGAGCATAGTTAAAGTGGATATGTCTAGGACTAAGTACAGACAGTTAAAACGCCTGAGGCTGAATCAATTCCATATTCACTGGTTAATCTAAGCTGTGTAGATAGAACCAATAAGCAAGTGAACAGACATTTACTTTTGATTCTGGAAATGCAGCCACATGCCTGCAGTGGCCCATGCCAGAAGCCAGAGGGCTCTAGTACATGCCTCCTTGCTCAGCTGGAGCAGACAGCTTGGGCCATGGCTAGCCCACCCACCCTGCAAGGTAGGGGACGTGGGGAGGTGCAAAGCATCCTGGGATGCTGGGGACTGTGAATGAACTTGAATATGGAGGGGATCTGGGACAGAAGTTCAATAAACTGATTTAACCTAAATCAAATCTCATGATCATCCATCCAGGCTTTTCTTAAACCAGTTTCAGCCATTTTTAAAGCAGTTTGTGCACTAAAATTCTGTTGTGTTAGAGATTTGATCTGGTTTCCGATCACTTTTGGTGGTTTATGTGTAATCTCTGTCC